CCCCAAAACCCCAAAACCCCAAAACCCCAAGAGATATATTTTATGAGGTGGTTTGTAAGTTTAAATTCTAATCAATTTTAATTTATGGAGAAAATATAATACAAAGAACAATCAATTGAAAATCTTTACAAAATTAAGGGGTAAATTGGCTCTGGAACTTTCTATAAGGTTTTTGAAGCTGAAGAAATCTAAGAGCCTCACAGAAAGGTTGCTCTTAGAGTACTTGACTTGGCAGTATTCTTTTTAAGTAATCAAGGGTAATACTTTTTGACTTTATTGAGGGAAATCAAGACATTCGAGCTAAAGCATCCAAATATTGTGGAGAATATCGATTGTTTTATTGATCAAAATCAACTAGTAAGCGTATTTGAGCTTGCCACTTATGGTCTAGATAAGCTCATAGAAAGTTATAAATGTAAGTAAATCTTACTCTTCTTAAAGCTTGGGATTAACATTATTTTTAGAGGATGGGGTATATATGACCAATGTTCAAATTTGCCAAATAATGATTCATATCTTAATGGGCCTTGAGTATACTCATAGCAAGGGAACCATTCACAGAGACATCAGTGCGGATAACATTCTATTCTGTGCAGAATAAGGCTTGTACAAACTAGCTGATTTTGGAGTAGCAACTTTTGGAACAACAGTTAATTATGGAGGTAAACATGATTACATGGCTCCAGAAGTCAAGGAGCAAAAGCATTACAATTACAAAGCAGATATTTGGTCTGTAGGAGTTGTTCTATATGAACTATGTACATAAAAGAAAAATTATAATGATTTGGTACTCTCTGATTTTAGAATTGCTCATAAAGGTTCAATTATAGAGCTTCCAAAATAATACAAAGAGTTATAACCAATTTTAAATAAAATCACACAGTATAGTCCTCACTATCGACCAACAGCTTCAGAAGCACTCAAAGAGATATTTGAGATATTAGGTGATGTAAATTCATATTAGTCCTAATTGGAATAAATACATTAACTTAAAACAGAGGAGAAAGCGAAATAAATTAAGAGTAGTGTAGCAGAACTATTGCAGCTTTTAAATACTTAATGCTAACAAAATATTATGAAAAAGTAAATTAGATATCATAAAAATATTTGCAAATATAGTAGTGAATAAGAACAATTGTCATAAGAATTGAAGTAAGTTCTTAGAAGCATTGATAAAATAGTTTTAAAATCTCAAGCTTAATGATGAGTATTGATTGGTTGAATTCCTCTTATGGATGCTATATCCAATTAGCTATAAAAAATAAGATAAAAAGATATGACTTAAATTCGCTTAATTTTTTCATAAAGCCATTTAATTTCATTTAATATAATCATTATACAACGCTTAATAAGATTTTTAATTCATTTTGCTGGGGTTTTGGGGTTTTGGGGAGATCGGA